GGGGGGGGGTTTGAAAAGCTGCATTTGTGATTTGTCTGGGCCCCTTTCTTCTTTTATTCCTCCTTGTCTCTATCCAGACCTGTCGAACGCATGAGCTAACTCAGGAGGCTAACATGGCCTACAGGGAGGAATTACACCTAATTACTGGGATAACTGCGGGGCAGGGGCTTTCTGTAGTCACCCACAATCACTTCCAGGTCTCTTCTTTCTCCGGTTTTTTTTGTCATGTCAGAATATCTCAGACCAAGCTTTTCATATTGAAATTGTCCAGAGTGGTGAAAGAGTGAGACAGGTAAAAAAAAAAATAAAAGGACATACACACACGCCAAAGGGGGGAGGGGGATCAAATTAACCGGCATTTCATATCATCTATTTTAGTTGTTGCCTTAGCGATAAAGTCGCAGACATTGAAACTGGTCTGTTGAGCCATTGTTATCATCCCTGGCCATCTGCTGCTGAGGAGTGACATTCCCTCTCATTTGCATGATGAGTGATGTATGAGGAGCTTGGAAGGGCATATGTCCCGATCTTATGAGAAAACAAGGAAAAGTTTATTTTTGAAAAAAAAAAAACCCCAAAAAACAAAAAAAACAAACAAACACAATACGGATCCGTCAACAAATAAGACTACAGGAGTTTAATAAATCCCCCGCGAGCGTCTGCGCGCGTGTAGGAAAGCGTCCTCTGGCCGCGCACACAAAATCTGTGGCGCGCGTGCGTGTGTCTGTGCGAGCGTACGCGCGCATGAGTGGAGGCTAGTGCGCGCATCTGCCTCCTTGTGTGCCTGTTTGTGTGTTTTGCGGATGTGGGAGTAGAGCGAGGAGGGGGGGGGTTGGTGGCTGTTGATGTGCAAATGTGCATCATGTTGAAGGGCTGTGAATGGGGAGGTGTGACGTAAAAAGGGACCCGAACGCAGGTGCTTATCTCGAGGCTGTCAAAGGCACAGTATGTCATATTCCTGGGGACTACCTTTCAAAGCCATCGCACCAGCACAGCTATCAAGAGACTGGGAGAAAATCAAACTTTTTGGATCACAGCAATAGGTTGGTGTCAAAGTTCTTTTTTTTAAAAAATATATATATATTTAATATACTGTCGTTTTGGTCAGCGTTTATCAGGACTGATCCGCTGTATCGCATGTGTGAATGACAAACCTTTCAGCTCGCGCTGTTAGATGCTGTCTCATCCAATCCAAAACAGGAGCTAAAACGCACAAGTATCGGAAACTTATTCAGATTCACTCTTAGAATTTATCCGACCGCTAAACTTCTTTTCTGTGGAAATGCAACGACTAATTTTTTTTATTTTGTTTTTATTAAAGTAGTGGACTGTCAGATGTTTAGAGGTGTGTCAAGGAGTATTTTGGAAACGTTTCACCGATGATGACCATCGCATGCTGGATGGAAAACAGTGTTCTGACCATCTTTTGCTGGAAAGCGAGAACAGGCTTCTGTTCAGGTTTCAGACAGTTTGAGAAGAGATTAAATGGCTCAAACTGCTTTTTGAGAGGCATGACCTATTTTTGATCATCCAGATAGCAAGAGATACTGTCTACCTAGATTAGATTCACTGCATTTGTGTGGAGTATAAGCTTGTCTTAGAGGAACACATGTTCGTATTGTGTGTAGAGACAAAGCATTGTCAGGTTGCCTGTGGCTTTGACAGTGACAGCTGTACATACAAGACCACTGAGCCTAATGCACTTAAACATTGACTCCATGTTCCAATAACATGTTTGAGCAGCCAGCCAAGTATTTTATTGCATCCTGCTCTGTTCTTCTTTTAATTTGTATTGTTAGTGTGAAAAATAAATGCCAATTCTGAAAATGGACTGATTGCAAAATCAGCTAACCTGTCTTCAAAATCAACTTTTTTTTTGTCTTACACTTAGAGGGCCATTTTTAGATTTGTAAAGACTCAGGCACACGTTCTGTCTTAATTTCGACAGTTATTATAGTGTTGCTGCTTCGGCAAAGTTTGAAAACTAGACTCTAATATTGAACATGGAACGATAAGGAGACAGGCGTGGAAGTGAACTTTTGTGTCAGATGTGGGGAAGACAAAGCTCTGAAAACACTGTGAGGGGGTCAAAGCACTCAACAGTCTCCAGAATCACTATTGATTTAGGAGGCTTGTTGCTGATTACAAAAGTTCATCATTTACTAGTAACTCTCGGCGCACCGATGGCTCCGATTCTGCACCCACCTACCACCCATCTCTGAGTGGGGTCTTGCTTAAAAGAAGTTGTACCTTCTAAAAATGGTGTCAGAATTCAGGACTAAGTGGGATGCTGAGCTCACAATTACCTTGACATGATCATGTTGATTTTTTTCCCTTCTTTTTATCAGCTGCATGCAAGAAAAGCAGTGATACAATTGAATATTTTCATTTACTAACAACTCCTGCATGTTGTAATCTGTCGCCATGGCCTTTAGATACAGCATCATATATCCTCTATCCACTTTTTTTTGTCTGAAGCATTTACACTGACTTTTATCTGATGTCGCTACACCTTATTTTAACCATATCAGGTAATTTTACTCACCTCAAATCTAATCTTAAACCTGAAAATAGCCTAACCCTAACCCACAAGGCGTTAAGGCATTGCAGGATTTTGTAACCATGTCACGTTTTAGAATTACTTTCAGGAGTTTAGTTCGGTTTTTCTGTCATAATAACATAAGAGGAACGTGTGTGTGTGTGTGTGGGTACAAAGTTACACCACTGCTCTTTGTTTTATTTGTAAGGGCCACAACGACTGTGTGGTAAAGCAGTGATAAGTAAGAGGCATTATTCCTCTCCAGTCCACACCCTCCTCTTCAAAGCACAGGGATGTTAGTTGCCACACAACACATTAATGTCACCTCTGTTTGTCTACAGGAACTGTCCATGGTACCTTCTGCCCGTTTAAATACTGCATCTCCACAAAGTCACAAAGACCTCGGCACATGAAAATTTCGGTTTGGGATATTTTGATTTGCGCTCGTTCTCAGAAGTCAGTCTCCACAGAAGTTTTTCAAGCCTTTGGATCATGTGGAAAATTCGAAGCGCTTGTTTTAATTGTAAGTCACTGCCGTCGGGTAGTCACATTGTAAACAACACAAACCGCACATAAAGCTCCGTAAACGTGCCAGTTCAATCCACGCTGCATTACCTGTTTCCCTCCCGTCCCAAACTTCAGTTAGTTAATCCAGGAAAATAAATTATATGGATTTAATTCAACAAGGTCTCAGAAATGATCCATCTGCTGTTGAGCAGCTGGTGAAAGGATAAATGCAATTAATTACTTAACTTTTGAACATTATTCAGAAAAAAAGGCATGTTTGTGTTTTCTAAATGGGGGAAAAAATAGGAAGCAGCATTATGATCAGTACCTTTCAATTTTTAGTCTCAATACCGATGTAATGATTACATTTCAAGAGGCATTTTTGTACAAGTCCGGTCATGGTTTGAAATTCTGAATAGATTTATAATCCATGTAGTGCCAGGAATTTAAGAGATTAAAAATATTGTTTAGAATAATATAAATGATATTTCACATGTACTCACTGAAGTCTAGATTATAATAAAACAAATAGAAGAGATAAAGATGTGTCGTGATTTGTAAACATTGTTTTAAAAAAAACATTCTTTAAAACTTAACTTTATTCCAACCAGAATTATCCGCGAGGTGTTTAACAATAATTATAAGCTTCTAACAATCCTCATCCTTATGAAATACCTGGGTTGTGCTGGGTCTCAGTTTTTTCTGCTTGTTAAAACAACATGAGCTAAAAATACTCCCAAATTTTAATCAGGAGGGATTTTTCTAAAAAGATAATAAAGACAGCTGAAAAATCCTTTTAGTGAATATGGATATTTGCTTGACAGGGCAAGACTATAAAATGTTCCCAATTAATATTACATGGGATGCTTTTTTCTGTCTTTCTTCATTCTAAATATATTTCTGAATTTACCTTGATTGTAATGTACCTCATTGGCTGTGGTTCTGTTTGTTGGCCTAACTATAAAGGATCTGCTTATACCCTTGTGGGTTGGGAAGAATTAGGATTTATGAATTTATTTCCTCTGTTGTATTGTTTAAACAGCTTTGGTTTAGTTTTGATCCCTTCCTCTTGCCTTTGAGGCTGTTCCACGGTGTCAGCTGTTGACTGATAGTAAGAGAACTGCCTCACAGTGTGAATGAAAGAAAACTAGCGGTTGGTAAACACTGATAAGGGATAAATAGAAAGCGGTCAGGCAGAGATAGTTCTGTGGGAGCCCAGATTGTGTGCGGTCTGTTAAAATGAGATTCTGAGCCTGTCCTTTTTATTCTTCCTCCCCTCCCCTCCCCTGTGCAGTGTTTGTCTGGAAAATCTCCAGTGACCCGGCTCGGCAGTCCCAGGCTGCAGTATTCTCTTTTTGTATTTGTTTTGTTTTCTAACAAGGGTCAAGTTGGCCAATAGACATGTCCCTGATGCTTATAGACAGCTGTCATGACTTTAAGTGCTTACAATAGTTACATTTTGCAGGCATTCATGGTTCCACACCAATAAGCAGAACAATGAGCGATGTGTCAAAAAGCTACGTTTTAGTCTAGAAATCACAGCAATATGATTTATTTAAACAGTCAATACAAATATTTAAAATATCTGGTTTGGAGCAGGGATGTACATCCATCTACTCTTTTTCATCAAATTTCATAAAGTTGTAGTCATATAATTATAAATTACTATTATCTTCACTCTAGAGCATCAAGAGTATAAATCTAATTCCTCAGATAAAAATGTTCTGAATAACTGTTATTCAGCATTATTAGGTTGTTGTAATTTTTTTTCTTATTTCTTTGGTACATCCCTCTTTTATACGATGAAAAAGACCTCCAGAGGTCTTACCTTTAAGATCACCATGTGGTGTATTTACACAGAAAATGATTCAGCCTATTGTAGCCCAGCAGCTAATGAGATTGGTTGTTAAGTGAATGACACAAAGGCTACCCAAAAAAAAAAAGCAAAAAAAAAAAAGCGTAGCGTTTCGGGGGGATATCACAGTGTCCCTACACACACACACACACACAAGAGAACACACACACACACACACACTTCAACCAAACATGCTCTCGGAGCAGGGACACTCCACACTACCCTGTACCCCACCTCGATATCCTTCTGCTCCGTCTCCTCCCCCGATGTCCCTGTGAGATGCACAACAAAGGCTAAAAGGGGCATGGTAAGTCGAGCTCGCAATTCTGCCCTGTCGGACATGTTAACATGAGAGCATGTAGACGTAGGAGACAAGTGATTCTGTTTGTCTGCGTTAGGGCTCTCAGTGCTGTGTGAGCCTCAGGCTCAGATCAGTAGATTCATGGCTGGGTCCATAACACTGATGCTGTTTAATGAGACTCAGGGTAACATGTTTCTTGATTCTTCGTAACTTCTGAATTTGCTGCCGGAAACTTTCTGTTTGCGTCAAACTTTGTGAGTTTGTGTCACAGCTAAGAAGTGTTCTTTGTTCACATAACAGCTTAATTCCTCCCAGCTGGTAACATCAAGGGGCTTCTCTAAGAAAATTGAATGTTGATCTTTGAGTGAAATTAAATTCTGAGTGGTTACAGGTTAATTTACAAAGCACATAGATGTATAGCAGTATAGTAGACAACATTAAACACAAGAAGCTCCAGAATATCCACTGCTGAAGTAGGGAAAAACAACCTGTATCGCGGTTTATAGGCACTATAAATATTTTTGACTCAGTGGATAGTTTTGACTATCCTACTGATTCTTTTTCTCTCTCTTCACAGTAGTAGTAGAGATGGCTGTACAAATTTCAAGTGCTCTGGCTTATCATGCTTTATTGTCTAGCTGGAAAGTGGGTTAAAGTCCATGGTGTATATTAAACCCTGGACTTAAGTCAAATTTACATTTTGTCAAAGATTACCCCTTTTATTGATGCATATAATCATATTCATGGACCATCTGCTGATTTGGCAAGCATGGATCAAACTCACAAAACAGCTCTGCTAACCTTTTAAGTACAAAATAGTCTGGCTTAACTCTGCTATCCTAGAAGTGTGTGCGTGTGTGAGTGTGAGAGATTGGATAATACTTAAATTAGATCCTCCAGGCTGCTCATGCCATATTTTGTTTTATCGTGATCACTTTGGTAGCGGACCAGGACTTGTGTTTGAACAACTGAGCAAATAACGTTTGTCTGACAATAAGCAATGCAAAAATCTTGGTGTAAGGAATCTGATTAAACTCTTGACCACTGTGTACCATTCTGAGTTTATATCAGTTGTCATGGTTACGTGGATTTCACAGTGCAACGTTGCACACTTCCACCTGGATGTGAATGGCCGCATTGGTCTCACCTCTGTAATCTGACTGTAATAAAATACTGCCTCGGGCTCATCGAGTTGTTCTGATAACTGATTTTTTCTCCCGAACTATCTCCCAGACTGTGTTTCATAGAAATAGGAATTCACCACTGGGCATCCTTAGCGCATGAAATACTTATGTTCGACTCATTCCAAACAAAGCTTACGCAGATTGAGAATTCATATGCCAGAGGTAAATCCGAGTTAACACGGATTTATACTGGCATGAGTTAAAGGACTAGAGTTTGTAATCCAGGTGGCCAAGGGATTTTACCATACAGTGGCAAAAATCACTTATAACTCCCCCAACATCCTGAGCCACTGAGCTCAGTAAGCAGACAGATTGTTCAGATCTGATGACAGCGCAACTATATCAGGGCTGCATGTATGTATATCTGAATATTTTCCCGTTTGTACGTATGCTCGTGTTTCTGTGTGCATGTATGTGAACATGTTTGCTGCCTATATGTACACAATTGGCACTGAAGAAGCTGTTTAGAATAAGACCTTGACAGATTGCTATTATTCTTCCGTAACAGGGTAGGGGACGCGTTTTGGGACCACTGCCTTCCATATGAATATAAATCAGAAACGGGGGGGGGGAAAAACTACATTTGTTTTCCGCTGATTGATGAGCCTTTCAATCCAAATCACAGTGATATCCAAATAATTAAAGTTTTATAAGTCTTTTGATCACCATACCAAACGCATTCGAAAATAATGGCTGAAGGGGTTATCTCTTTATGCATGCGAGGTGATGTGTGCGAACGTGCACGGCCACGCGCACGTCTGAGGAGGACAGAGGAGCAGAGATAGAGTGGAGTTGTTTAATGACAGGAACAGCTGACTCATTTAGAGGGAGCAGTGAAAGGTAATTAACCCTGGGAAAACTACAGCTGCCATGCGAGCTGTTCACTTCAGCGCAATCTGATTAGGAATCACTGCTCGAGTCCCTGACTCTTTTCAGACACTGTGTTCGAGGTAAACTTTTCCCTTTGGCCCGGAGAGCCCCAGAGAACTGGAAACCTGGCTTTTGTGGCGGGGGATTAGCTGGAACAGTTACTACGTTTCCTCAAAATGAAGACCACCTGGTAGCATTCATGCACTCTCCTCCTTAAAAGGAGCACCTCCATAAGGAACAATAAGCAGGATCACTTTGCTCATTGTTGCACAAAGGCTTGAGTTTCTTTTCCCCAAAACACCTGTCCCCAAATTAAACGGGCTTGAAAAAACATGTTCATGACAGAATTCAAAGATTCAGGCTAACCTAAGAGTCGTCCGGAAAGCTGGAGACGTGCCAATGTAACAGTTGTGTGCCGCTCCATTTATCATGTTATTGATGGATGGTGTTGTGAAAGAGGATACAAATTTTATTTGTCTCAATATTTTGGTTTTCTTAATTGGATTGAAATTCACAAATACAAAAATCGCATATCATCTATGCTCCTTTCTTAAGATAAGGGAATAAAGGCAGCAGAAATGTGGTCAAAAGCAGAAATTGGTTCTTTGATGTCAGAAAAAACAATCTGGACTTGGTGTTTCTGTGTGGTCCGGCTCCAGATGAACTCAATTTAGAGGGAAGGCTTTGGGGTGACTCTGGAAAGCGATTACAAAATTCATAAATCACCTTGGCTAAGGTGTCACCATCTGACTCTTTCATGGAACTCTTGCTAACTCCATCCAATAACAAGTTTCCCCTGTAGTTATGCCATCATAACAAATCATTGAAGCGATAGTGGCTAGCCAGAGTCCTAATTGTCTGTTAAGAATTCTGTGAGCTGTGTTTCTTTATTGAACCGTCTCTGTCTTGGAGAAGTGATAAGATGCCAATACGCTTCTCTATAAAAGTACTCTTTGGCAAAAGGCACAATCACTTTGCTTGGCCGTCAGGGTAGCTGTGAGGCTGTTATATCTGAAATCGCAGTTGACTTCAAGATTTTTTCAGTGGCTGCATGATTCCAGAAACCTCCATTAATCTGAGGAATGATCAGAAATTCTTGCCAAAATTATTTAAAAAAAAAAAATTCAGTCATATTTTTTTCTTCGTATGAAGGAACATAGAAATATTTGTATATATATATATATGTGTAGTAAGTATGATATTTCACACGAAATCACATATATATGAATATTAACACACTGAACATACTGTAGTTGGGGAATCAAGGATATAAAAAAAAGGTATTTGTAGATTTTTGGCCCCTCTACCCACCTAATCTATTCCCTAGATATTGGAAAGGCCAGCAAATATTCACATTCAAGACGGTCACCTTAAAAAAAAAAGTATTTTAAAGGTGCCTTTTGATTTTTTAAGGTGAATCAATTTACACTTAATTTAAACAAAAGAGGTTGCTAAAGCAATCAGGTTCTTCTTCCCACAGAATTGGTATGTTCACTGTGCCAGCAGATGTATTTTTGGTAGCTCACCTTTTAGCTTCAGCAAAGCCAATCGTTGGCTCTGCACGGGTCAAACCTCCCGTGGGATACAAATGAATTGTGATCAGTATGATATATCCTCATAAACCTTCATTACAAGGAGATATGAAAGTAAAAGGTCCCATCTCATGCCGTTTGCTCTTTATTATACATAAACAGAAAACACTTAGCATGTAAAATTAATGTGAAAATTATTCCCGGGGTAAACTATAAACACAAAAGTTACCCTGCACATTTACCCTTTTTTTCTCCTTCCCCTAGATCAGAGTGTAATTGCCAGTAATCAGGTCTGTTTGCTGCTGATAAAACCACTCTGAATGCGAGGAACCCTCTTTGTGTGATGACTCAATTATGCCAGAAGTGGCTCATCAAACCTGGCCCATCAGCTGCTTTAATAAATAAGGAGGAAAACTTGCTGCAGGCGCATTATAATTCCATTCATTCCATAATTAAATCCATTCCAGTTTTAACCCTTCACTCAGTACGCTTCTGGAAGAGGAAACAAAAACAAGGAGCGAGGGGAGGGGGTGAGTACACACCAGACAGTGACCTTGCACAGAGCACCCATCCGTTCCCTATAATTCAAAATGATACTGTTGAAGAAAGGTTAAGAGAAAAAGACTCACTGAGAAAAGGATGGGAATCAGTTAATATGTGGCTCCGGTTTTTTTACGTATGCATTGTTTCCACACACAGCCGAAGACAGTAATTATATTAAAAGAGTAATCTAATCATAACAGTTGGTTGCACGAGAGTGCAGCACTGACATTTTGAAATCTTATTTTGTGTAATCTCATTTACCTCTATCATCTCGCCTGTACCCCCTATCTAAAGGAAATGTAAATAATGTAATTAATTTTATGGTCTCCAGAATCTTACTTTGCTACTCTGGCCTGCATTATTGGTTTCAAGATGAGGTATCAGCACAGAGTTTTTCACTTCATCACAATAATGTCTGTGTTAATTATATGAGAGCGTCCCAAGTGCACGGATAAGCTGGGAACAGGGGGACACAAAGACTCAAGGTCAGCGATGAATATCCACGGCAGCTGCAGCGTATTAATAAGGCATTATATGAAAATAATAATAATAGCATCGCTCACAACAAAATGTGAGAGTGTGGTTTAAGTAATGTCAGGAGCGTCGGGGTGTTTTACACACATTTGCTCTCCAGCATCTCCGCTTGGATCCGGGCTCTCTGATAATGGTGCAAGGCAATGGTTATTCATGATTATTGGACTGGGAAGGTCTCTCTCTTTTTGCATCCCCAGTCGCAGCTCATTCTCTCCTCTGTGGCGGGAATGTTAGCAGATGGGGTTAGGGGGGAATGGGCTGGGCTCAAGGACAGTTAGCAGCCAGATTAACACATAGAAAATCTCATAGACTTTCTGCATCAGGCTGCCTCCTTTCCCCCAGAGAAATCTGCTCTGTTCATAGGGAAACAGTACTTATTTATGTTGGGGCCTGTGTGTGAGTGTGTGTCTCTCTGTTAGGGGGTATAAATATGATTCAGCAGATGACGAACCGGCCCGAATAGTAGTAGGCTAAGTCTTTTTTCATATGCTAATGAAACTGAGTGAATAACCCCCACAGCCACCCCCCTACTTTTTCCCCCAGTTTTGTTTTTCGGGGGAAACGCTCTGTGAGCTATAATTAAGAGGATGTGTGTGAGCGTGTGTGTATGAGTGTGTTTTATTTTTTTTCAAAGCTAACAGAAATAAATAATTCCATAATAAGATCTGTGAAGTGAAGAGGCTTAATGCACTCATTGTGTTCATGCATGTTTTCCCTCTTGGGTATTTTGTATTAATTAGAAGAGAGCAATTTGATCCATGTCAAGCAATCAATTTGCATCATGCTCCTTATTCTGTGTCAGATATTAATATGCTCTTTCTACTTCATTCTTACCTCGTGTTCACGCCATGTCACACATGGATGGAATTGTATAAATAAGAATCCCTCAAAACTTGGATTGCAGATTTATAATAGAAGTATGAAAAGTTACCGGATAGAAGTAGTAATGTATAATGATTTTGTAAAACTTTTTGTCTCTTTCTTTGTTTTAGATAATGACTTATACAATCACTTTCTGAGCGACAACAACTGTGAAAGCATCGGCTGGGGTGAACAGCCTGGAACTGACATCTTATCCCACAGACCACTTGGAGGACTACAATTAAAGGTAAATAATCCGTTGCATGAGGGATGCAAACAGAGCTTCAGTTTTAGGCTTAATATCAAACACAAAGTTTTGTTGGAGATGAAAAGGGTATGAATGATTGCATAACAGTGTTTAGATAAGAAGCATTATTTTCCATAAGTGATGAGAGAGGCAGCGCTCTCAAACTGAGACTGGATTTTACTTATGCAGAGATGTGGGTGGCCGGCAGATAAGATACTCTTTAAAAGGTATTGCTGAATTAGAATTTATCAAAAAGTAGACAACTTTAGATAAAATATTGTCTCGTCTGGCTTTGCACCTTAAAAAGTTTCTCTGAAAGTATATAGACTTTTATTCATTGAAGATTCTTTATGTTCCAAGACATGCCACTGCTTTAACCCAAAAAAAGACATTAAATGAAGTTTAGGGATCAACTCTTTTTGTTCAATATGTTCACATCAAGGTAAATGTCACTTGTTTATTTCTAAATAAATAATCGTTCCACGAGAACCAGTGGATGGGAATCAAATATTTCAGATAAAAGAGGCATGTGCACTGGACAATGCTCAGTGGAGATGTAAGGTGTTAACGTTCAGCAAAGCCAACAAAGCAAACACTCTTATCGGCGAAAGGCATGTTCCCAGTGACTGCATTTCATGTATTTACATTTAGGAAAATAAACCTGTAACAATCCCAGTTTTTCCTCTTCAGACATCATATAATTCATGCATATAAATTCAATAAAAAACACACTATGGCTGAAAACAACGAGCCAGTGGACCTTTAGTTAGAGAGAATTTCCGAAATAGAAGTATCACTTTAAGCAAACCATATTGAAAAGAACAGAGAAAAGAAAAGAAAATTAAATTATTAAAAGTTTGAAAAAATCATCAAACAGCTAAATGACAAAAACATTAAATACTTTACCTTACTTTGTCTATACATAACTATGCGTTTTTTATTATTCATGAAAAAGATTTAGCTGTTTTTTGTAAATTGATCCTGTATAAATGTAGCAAGTTTAATTAGATAATAGATATTTGTATATATCTATCTAAGAAGGGCACATCTAAAATGTCACATAAAGGAAAAAAAACCCTGGTGAGTCAGTGTTGATATTTTCAAACACTGATAACATCATTTGAACTTTGATTAATGTCCATGTTATAATCTCGGGCTGCGTGATGTGAGAGCAACATTTTGCCTTCAGACCAGCAGATTTAAACAAAAATATTGAAACATGTCTGTGTGGAAAAGTGTTGCAAACTAATGAGGTACATTCATTTTTACAGAATGTAATCTATAGTGTTTGGGAGTTGTTTGTCTCAATAGGCTGTAGTAATCAAAAGTAATGAACCTATTATGAGCAGGACCTCTGAGGGCCCAGCGTGGCATTAAGAGTGTGGCACATAAAAGGTTTATTAAAGGAAATTAAGGTCCATCACTGCCACACCTGCTCCCCTATTATAAATGTATGACAGGTCAGTGCCTTCAATCACAACAGCAAACGAGAGAGAGGAGTCATGTTTCCCATTACCAGGGAAAAGTAACAGCATATCCTATGACTCACAGATTTCACTGGCCTGTGACCACTATATGCCACCATCAGCCTGGAATAATTATGTTTAATAGGTTTTATTTGGGATCCACAAGCAACGGAGTGGATGGATTTTAGCAAGTATTTTTGTCTAAACACACACTATGAGGCGCTGTCTGTGCTTAATGTCATTATTTGGTGTCATTATGTTTTTACACACCTTTGAAACTTTTTACCTCTGCATTCTACTCTATGTGTGTGCATATGAACAATATTTTAGAGGCTGTATTTAATTGTTATACACAAAGATTGATTTGGGAGACTACAAGCCTGACGGCCACTAGTGAGCCATAATCTCTAAAGTGTTATTGTAGCCTCTTCACATTTGCAATAAAAAATACATTTTTGGATGCATTTCAGTCTGCCTTTCTTCACATTTGCCGGTCTGCTTACAGATGGATTCAGAAGGCGAGGAGCAAACCTATCAAACATGTAATGGCAGCACAGGTGAGTGCAGATTTTGAAGTTCGCTTTTAGCTACACATGTATGCATGAACACTCACACATCCCACTTATCACCATGGATTAGGGGTATCAGTTCAACAATCCAACTTTGAAACTGTCAATTTTATGTATTATCTTACCGGTCTGAAGAGCACTGCATCGCCATTTCATTATTCAGAGGGGAATAACTTCATTAAATTGAAACACTGGCTAAAACTAGTTAAGGATTGTGTATAGATTGTGTGATTGAAAACCTCTGAATGTGTCATTGTGCAAGTGCTCAGGGCCTTTGAGGCTTCCCTGCTCACACTGAGCCAATTATGACATGTGGGGAAATTCATAAAAAAATGTTTTGACTGGTTGTGCTTCAGGGAAGTAGTGGTAGAACTTGTGATGAGATTTATGCAGGCCTCTGTGAAAATTGATTTACCCTTTTAGATCATGCTGTAAATGCTGTCAAAGGATGAGCTGCTTTCAGTTTCCCAGGGAATGAGGAGCTTTTCAGATCAATGAAAAGGACACATCCACACCCTTCTGCTGATTATCAAAATGTATGCTAAAAAAAAACCTTTGGTAAAAGGCTGATATAGGACGAGTTCATAGCATTCCAAAAAATGTATCCATAAAACAAATATTTACAAATATGTCATCATAAAATGTAATTAACAATAGTAGTTTCATTAGTGAAGTATGAAGTCGCTGTGAGCATTTTATTAGGAATATGTTGGCCGGTGTGGTGGAAATGTAAACTTATACTTTTGTTTTCATATTTAATTCGATGGTCTGTGTTTCACAGGACTGGCAGAATGCACCAGTGAGACCAACAGGTAAAATTTATTACACGAAGGCATTATTTTGTTGTTACGTGCAATTCATAAAGATGGCTCTAATGGTTATAAGATTTTTAATTTTTAATTTCTTATTTTTGGGACCTTCAAAATGAGCAACCCAAAGCCTTCTTTGACCCTGCTTTGCTTTTTGGCCAGCCCATACGGGTCCATGGTGAGGAAGAGGAGCGCCCAGGAAGGGGCGCAGGGTGCCCCTGTCAATAAGAGAAAGTCCCTGCTGATGAAGCCCCGCCATTACAGCCCCAGCGAGGCATGTGAAGAGGAGAGTGAGGACCTGGCACTGCCACAGGACAAAGAAGAGCTGAGGAACATTGACACTCCAGCAGGTAAACAGATGTCCCGTTGTTTTGTCTGTTTTGATGAACAATTGACGCTGAATTTTAAAATCCCATCTGTTGCATTCATATTTCCCTCCCTTTGCCATCGGCCAGCAGCCGCAGTCATTGTGCAGTGGAAGTGAAAGACTACACTGCTGGGTCCATATTAGTTGTGTCTCACGTCCACAAATTGAAGTTTGACGGCTGATCTGCCATGATATTTTTGGCGTGGTTTTAGCCCCTTTTGATGAGGCCAGATTTCAGACCCCTCATCTGTCCTCTTTCAATAGCCAGTCCAAACCCATTGAATCCATACAATGAGAACCTGAAAAGAGCCGTTCACCAGTTCACTTTGATTCAAATTAAACTCCTCTCAATCTTTCACGTGGAATACTATTGAAGTTGCCTGTTGGGAAATATAAATTAGTTTTCTCTTTTCATATCTGTTCTTAACAAAATTTCACTTACAGAATAGTTTATCCACAGCCGTTTAAAAGATTGTTTATTTTCTCTTACGGCACCGTCCTTCACGATAGCAAAAATGTTTTCTTTCATTCTAATGAACCAAATTTTGTGCATTTTGGCAACAATGCTCGTGGTGTACATGTGCATTCTCACCCACTATAATCTGCACTGATTTGGTATATTTTTAACGATGTAACTAAGCAACAAACGTAATTGTCCCTTTCAAAAGCTTTTGTTAGGCCCTCTAACACAGTCTAATACATAATTAGGCATAATGTCTACAGCTCATTATAGTACACATGTGTGTAGTTAAATGGACCAGGAGAGTAGCTCACTGAATTGTGTGAATTCATTGGAAATAGAATTTATTTGTTTCCTGGGTTCATATTACAATACAATTATCTATATAATTCATTGTGCATCATCAGGTTTTCTTTTTGTTTCCATGTATTCTACTTTTCATTTGATTTTTAATATACTGCTGTACATTTTTGCTTAATGACAATGAAAAACTGATATTTTGTGAAGTTACTTTAAAACAACCAAAATCCAGTCAGTGAAAAGAAGCCAGCAATATGCCGAGCAAATGCAAACACTAATAAACATATTTTGAACACATTTAGTCTCAGGATTCGGAGACAATTTGCGGCGGGAACAAAAAAAGAAAAACAAAAATGAGAAAAAGCAGACCAGAGGCAGAAAGAATTTCTGCCGTGGGAAGCTTGTCATATCTGCATTTTAACAAAAAGGGAGAAAAATAAGCCTCTTGTTTGGTTGAGCCACGCTGTGTTCAACTCCAGCCAACTGCAGCCCTGCTGCAGAGTGCTGGTAATGGCTATTCTGGAGTACAAACTGTTCACCTGTTCCAACACACAAACCACCAGAGGGATCCAAGTTTTTTTCCTCCATCCCTTTCCTTTTTTCCACTGCACTTCTGTGTTTGTGTACGTGTGTGTGTGTGTGTGTGTGTGTGTGTGTGTGTGTGTGTGTGTGTG